CTCTTGCCCTCTCGCCCTCTCCCTTTTCTCTCTCCCTCTGTCTCCCTCTGTTTTCTTCTGTCTCCCTCTCTCTCCCTCTCTCTCCCTCTCTCTCCCTCTCTCTCCCTTTCTCCCACTCTCCTGCTCCCTCTCTCCCTCTTTCCCTTGCTCTCTCTCTCTCCTCTCTATGTTCCTCCCTCCCTCCCTCCCTCCCTCCCTCCCTCCCTCCCTCCCTCTCTTGATTCCTTTGTCATGCCAATTGAAATGGGTTGGTCAGACGTTTTCTATTTAGGAGCATCTCTACCGACGTGCAAGAACCTTCAGTCTCACAGTGGGATAAGTTTGTGTCAGACTAAAGCGAGCTCACACTAGGATCTGGTCTCGAGGACGATCAGGTACATCGTGGAAAGACCTGTCAGTGTGCCCTTAGTTCTGCTGATCACAGTGGACTGTGACGTGCTGTTCATGTGTCGATGTTTCTGCAAATTGCCTGTGTGTGCTTGGCATTGTCTGCAAATGCTATAACCTTGTCATCCTTCGCAAATATGATGAACCTCTTTTAGCATTTTGTTGATGTATTGGCAGAGTTGAGGGTCTGCTGGAAAGAAGCCTGGGCAGCGGGATGTGTGAGAATATTTTCTATAGCAAGGATTTGTCTGTGCTACAGGCCTTTCGGAGGCCTGAGGCTGAAGGAACAGGAAGCCTCCAGATTTTACTGGTTCCCTGCATGAATCTGGTCTGCAAAGCACACCAGAAGCATGACTATTGCCCCATACAAGCTTGTATTGGGATTTGACCATGCCGAAGATGGCAAGGTGCTATTATCTGGTAGCTGTACTGTTTGGGAAACTTCTAGAGGCCGAACCGCTCAAGCTCCTGCCCCTCAACCACCTCTCTAACCCGCCGAAACAGAGGTTAAAGAGGTGATTGAGGAACAGGAGCTTAACCAGTTTGCAGTAGCGATGGTGGCCGAAAAGAGCCCCGAAGGCTATTTTTAGTATTTTGCCTGCCCAGGTAAGGAACCGGTTTCAGGCATTGAGGGGTCAATTGCGCAGTAACGACGGGGGCCGAGAAGAGCCCCAAAGGTGACTATTCATTCTAAGGGCCCTCCGTTTTGAATTTTGCTACTCTCTGAGCATCCTCATCACACTTCACCTGGTCCTTTTTTTTGCGTTCGCTACCGTCTTCACCCGAATAGAACGCCCGGTCATTATCGCTGCATCTGGACCGAAAGTTGTGCCAAATACAGCTATAATGACCGGGCCTTCTATTCGGGTGAAGACGGTAGTCACTCGGCTAGAAATGGACGCCATTGCATATAATGGTGGTTAAAGCCGTGCCTGCCCACCCGCTCTTTTCACTTGTGATGAAGCAAGCTGACTCAACCTGGAAGCTGCACTGCCTCTGCTTTATCTTCTGGCTATGCTGGAATGACCACCGTCGGTGGAGTTTGTTGCTGAGAGTCTGCTACGAGGTGGAGGTGATTGGCCAAGGTGGCTATCCGGCAGGGCATGTTTGGAGGCAATACCGTGGTCTGTTGGTCGATAATCGGTGCAGCTGGCCTTTGTCGGTGCAGCAGGACGCTACACAATGACCGCTTACCGGTTCGGGGGCTTCGTTGCTGATAGGAGGCGGTTTGTATGTGTGGTAATTGCCACTCGGAGCATCGGCTGGTTTAGTAGGTGCACCGAGAGTAGGACCGGGAAGGTGGGAGAGATGTTTGTTCAGTCTGTTCAGGGCTGTATTCGGCTGGAACGTCATCCTGTCGGTTCTTGGACGTTGTGGGCAGAGTTAAGGAGGGGGAGGATTTGTGAGAGGGGGTTTTCGATCCTCTGCATGTGGCTTTCCGTGTGTGCTTTGCTACAGCTTTGTTCGAGTCTGGCTGGTGTTCACTGTGAGTCTTCAGGGACATGTATAGGATTATGTTGCTTTGTGGAGCGCTACATCCACTGTGGATCATACCAAACATCAGTAACTGATGATTGTCCTTTTGTCTGGCTACCGTCTTCCCCCGAATAAAACGTATGGTCCTTATGGCTGAATCCAGACTGAAGTTGCCCCAAATACAGTTCTACTGATCGTACGACGTACGTTCTATTCTGGGAAGACGGTAGCAATCTTGTCTATTGACTCTATTGTATAACTCATTCATGACTCCTGCCCTCTCTTCTTTGCCATAGCCTATACATCTATTCTTCATTGCTATAGCTTGACCTATAGAAGGGTTTCAGTCAAGTCAAATTTTGCTCTCAATATGCTGTCCCCTTCCCTGTGGGAATGGGCTTGGCATGTGTGACAGGCTGGCATTGAGGTGGAAATGGGCTTGTCTGCAGGTTTTTGTGATGAGGGACTATCTGCGTGACAGACTGGCATTGAGGTGGCGAACTTGGATGACAAAGGAGTACATGCGTCTGTACTTTAACAATCGAGCATTCTACAAAATCCAGGTAACCTCTTTTCTAACTTGTTCTCCAAGTAAAACTATTCTTACTTGCTCTACCACTGCCTTCACCTGAATAGAACACAATGGTCATTATCTCTGTATCTGCACCTTTTTTTTTTTTTTTTCCTTTTTTTTTGGAAAAATCAGAACCCCACGGTTCTGGCTCCTGCCATTCTGGGGAGCAACAGTCCCGTTCCTATTCCCCCGGCAAGTCATTGTGAAGTACATTGAAAACACACACACGCTCCTCCCCATTATGGCTGGGAGGCCCGAGTGGGCGGCATTGATTACTTCCTTGCGGAAGGATGTACCTCCCCTCACCCCTGCCTGAGTTAGCCCTGGTCTTCCTGGCCGCAGTCCAGCCCCTCTCAGCTGTATAGCTGTCGGATCACAGTGTTCTGCTAGAGTGGACTGAGGCACTCTACCTTGCTTATGCTATACTTCTCATTGCCCCTCTACCTGCCGTACCACTGCATCCCTACTAGGCAGTTGGAAGGGGGGGGGAAGGGGTCGGGGAATTCTTCGGGGGGTCTGAGAGGGATCCCTGCATCTACTTTGGCCCAGTCATTGAAAATCAGGCGGTAGTCCCTTTCTATTGTTACTACCTGTTGACCCTCACCTGTCTCTTTTGGCTCTCCTTTCCATTCCACCTTCCCAATTCTTCCTCCATCGGGTCGTCCCAGCCAGCTTGAACAAAATTCCTGTATCTTTTGTTTGATGTCTTTTGGCGTTTGAAGTACTCGAATGCTAGTTTTGACCACCTCCCATTTGGCTATTATTTCAGTTTGAATCTGCTGTATCACACTTTCGGTAAAGTCGGGGCCTTCTAGTCTCACCCCTTCCATTGCATAGGTGCAGCGCCGTCTCCATAATGCCCAGAGGACTGCTCTTCGTCCCAGTTTAAGCATATTGGTAGTAAACTCCTCAAGGTGTTCCATCAGTCCCCTGGGCCAGGTTTCGCAGAGCAGCGCCTTCCAGTCCCAGGGCCAGGGTGTGTCTGTGTTTAGTTGGTTCCAGATTCTGTCCCACCATCTCCACAGCCATAGTGCACCTGGGCATTGTAGGAATATATGCTCTATTGTTTCTGGGTGTTTTCAAGCCGGGAAGGCGTTCATACATAGTTTGCACCAGGGGAGGGCCAGCCCCCTTTGCTCCAACGTTGTGCTGTCTATTAACCAGTCATTGGTTGGCAGGCAGCGATGCTCTATCTGCCATTGGAGCGACGCAATCCTAGCAGGTTTTTCTTTTGCCAACCGAAACCATTTTACTGGTCGTAACTCCTCTTGTCTGATGTTTAGGTGAGTTTTCCATCGCTCTTTCACTTGGTCGGCAAGGTTGATTTTTGGTCTGAGTAATCTGTATGTTGATTTCACTGTTAATCTGTAGAGTGTTTTAGTGCTATTCTGTCCTTCCATCTTTGGGTTGTCTATGACCACTCCGATGGGTCCAGGGGTAGTTGCTGGATCGGGGTGGATGGCCGGAAGGCTATCCATTGCTGATTTTCTTGGAGCACCCTGATACGGAAAAGTTCAGCCCTTGGATGTACTGACGTTTTTTCGTCTGTGTTTCTGTGGAGAATGTTTCCTTTGCCAACATGAAACCAGTTCACCATTACGGATCCATCCAATTGCATGGAGACGACCCTGCCCACGTCCCCTATGCTTCCGGGGCATGCCACCCAATCGTCTTTCTGCAGGGTAGGGCCCTTGCGTAAGATTCTCAGCCAGCCTATTGGGACCATTTCCGTTACCTTTTCCAGGGCTTCTTGGGGGCGGTGGCAATATCGTAGCTTTGCCCGTAAAAGTTCCGGTTCAATCCATTCTTTCAATTCTGAGTCCCATATATCTTGTACCCTTGTGACCCCTCTCTTCACCCAGCCCTGCCACGGCGAGTCCATGCAGTGGAGGGTTTGGCCATTCGTGTCTGTTATCCACCTATTGCCGAAGAGGGGTTGTCGCGCCACCTCCTCCCATCTTTCTGGAGGAGTTTTGTCCGGGAGGGGGAGGCTTCTCCAGGTGTTGAGCAGGTTGGCCCAGAAGGGGTCTTTTGCCAGATCATCCTTGACTGATTGTCTGGTTGTGGCCGGGTGGGGGTCCTGTTGTCGTGACGCTCTAGGGATGGGCCAGCCTCTGTTTTCTAGCCACATTAACGGATCACTGTCTTCATTTGTTTGAGGGGCTAGTCTGGAGATTTGTTCCAGGGCCAGCCCTTGCCAAGGGGATTCATCATTGAAGATAAGTCGTTTGATCCATTGTATTGCCAATGCTTTTGTCTGTGTGAGCGGATCAATGATCCCGAGGCCCCCTTTTATTTTGGGCTGGGTTATGGAGTGCCATGCCACACGGCTGATAACGTTTTGTCTATCATGAGCCCCTCTCCACAAATCTCTGTATCAATCTCTGTATCTGCACCTGAAGTTGGCCCAAATACAATTATAATGACCGTACGTTCTCTGCAGGGAATGATGGTAGACATTTACTGGGCAGTCAGGCAATGGATGGCTAGACCAGACAATGAAGGTGCCAACTCACTCCTACCAGTGCCAGCTCATCCTTGGTGAGAGCTACTCTTTATGTCAGCTTACCCCTGGTGCGAACTCACACCTAGTACCAGGTAGTGCCAGCTCACCCTTGATGCCAACTCTCTCTGAGCAGTGCGCCAGCTCACACTTGGTGTGGGCTTACTTTTGATGCAAGCTGAGTGCTCCAAGATTGTTCAAAATTGCGATGATCCTGGTCAGCTCATACTGCAGAACTCAAGAAGAGACAATTCCATTCGATAATTCGATTGCAACTCCAAAATGAGTACACCTTGGAAGAAGAGACAATGCCAAGCTGGTTATACACATCTAGATGTGTATAAGAGACAGCCCCCTCAACTCGCCTCCATGCTCCAAGATTGTTCAAAATTGCGATGATCCTGGTCAGCTCATACTGCAAAACTCAAGAAGAGACAATTCCATTCGATAATTCGATTGCAACTCCAAAATGAGTACACCTTGGAAGAAGAGACAATGCCAAGCTGGAACCGATGTCATCTCCCCCTCAACTCGCCTCCATCATCTCTCCCCACATCATCTCTGCCATCACTCTTACCGCGAGAATTGTAAAGAGCCCTCCTACACCCTCTTTACTACCTCGGTATAGCATCTGACTATGGCAGAACTTCCATGCCCACCTCGGATGTGCAAAGGGCAGTGCAAATGCTTCCATGCCATTTCCAACAATAGCTGCCAAGCCTACACTACCAAATGAACTCCATAACCAACCGGGACCCCTTCAAGGGCGTGGTTGAAGTTGCAACGCAGGAAAAACATCCCCATGTACTCACACACACATGACATATCTGATATGGTGAGATTCACACCACACTCAGGAGAAATATGCATCGTGGAAGCACCATATCCAAAGAAGAATTGAGTAAGAACAATTCAAAGTCCTTCCTCCTTCCTCTCCACGTCCAGCCAGAGCCACACAATAAGCCAAGAATCACAATTTGAAACTCGTTCATAGAAGCATGCACATGTGCCCATACACATGCGCAATCACAGAGTAGAATAGGAGAGGACACACCACACCAAACTGGACTTGAAGATGCACAGCGGAAGCACACAATTCACACAGAACCGAGGAGCTCAACTCGAAGTCCCTCTTCACTCTCCAGTTCAATCAGAATCACAAAGATGTCCAAGAATCTCAAGCGAGTTTTGAGTAACCCAAAGGAAGCTCAACAAGCTTCAACAGGCTAACAGCAAAGTTCCCTCCGCCTTCCAGTCTCCTCCTGCACCCCCCCGGCTATGGCGCCCATGCAGAAAGCCAGTGCCCAGCCTCCTAGACCTGTAGACCACCAGCGCCACCTCCCAGACCCATCTGCTGCACCAGCGCACTCAGGATGAAATCAGAACCCCCAGTGCCAGAGCAGGGACTTCTCAGGAAGAACAGCACTATGCAATGACTTGCTGTTTTCTGGTTGTCTGTAGCCTCTCTCTGTCGAGGCTGTACTATAGGTGGGACAGATTCGTAATTTTGTTTGGCTGAGGGCTAACTGAGAGACCTACCTGTGAGGGAAATTCTTGAGGGACATATCTGCAAATCCGGGAAAATACAGGCCCGGTACTAACTTGATTCCCTACAACTACCCTAACTGCGGATAGCAGGCCCGGGCTACCCCTAGACAGACAGGCCCTATGGGCCTATTCTGAATAGACGGTCCTATAGCCTATAGCCGGGTCCGGTAGAGGCCGAGAGGCCGAAACAGATACGGTACCRGTCGGTCAGTCAGTCCGGTCTAGGTCGGTGTAGGCTAGAAGTAGGATGGGCACATCGGTTCAGGGCTTTTGGCAGTTGGTACCGTGTACATCGCTGCTGTGCTACGCGTGAACCGGAAGTGGTGACGGCTCAGCGTGGAGGAAG